GGAGGGCCGGGGAGGGGCTCCCACTCACAAAATGGCGAAGGCAGGCGGCGGGGCCGGCCATTGTGCCCGGAGCCGGCCTCGGGGCGGGGACTGGGAGGGGGCGCCTCCGGCGGGCGCGGCTCGGCCGCGGGGGGCTGCACCTCTGAGCCCCGCGGCTCGGCCTCGGCCCCGCCGCGACCCCCTGCCTGCCGTCCTCGCAGCGAGTGTGGGATCCCGAAACCCTGGAACAAAATGGCGAAACCTAATATGGCCGTTCGGAGTGATTGACGCCCAAATAACATCTCTTTCTCTGTGTCTCTCCCTCTCTGTCTGTGTCTTTTGTGTTTCTTTTTTCTCCCCTGCACCCCTCACCCACTTTTTCAGACCGAGTGTGTCAGCAGCCAGGACTTTCTCTCTGGGTCCCCTTCCAAAACGCAGCCACCGCCGTCACCAACCTCTACAAAGGTAAAGATAACCTTGCTGCATTGCCGCCTGAGGGGAAGGGCAGCCTGCGTCAGGGCTTGAGTCCTCCGTTGCTAGGGAGGTAGACACCCCGGCCCTTTTCTGCTGCCGAACCCGGCCGCCGAGTGCCTGGAGTATTTGGTGGGTAGAGAGCTCCGGGGGTGGCCTGGCCAGAGCACGGATTCTCAGCTGGGGCGTTTGACCCCCTCTTCGCCTGCCTCGGGTACATTTGACGGTGGGGGGCAGTTTTGAACGTCATCGCCGAGAGGGGGCTGCTGGATATCCTGCCCTGCAGGAGACCGTGCTCCCCCTCCCCGAGTGTCAGTACTGCTGAGGTTGAGAAGCCCGAGAGGGGTGCAGCTTCTCATCGCAGAAGTCGCCCAGGGAAGAAAAGGGTTTATGGTTTGGTGCCACAGACCGACGTGAGCAGCTCCTGGAAAGGATTCTTGAGAGTTAGGCAACTTAGACCAAGGTACTTTGGTAGCACTTACGTGCGTTGAAAATCAGCTGATGGGAATAATCTGTCCGCACGTTAACGTACTGTTCTTCCCTAGCAACCTCGAATAATTGCTTTCAGAGCTGCCATCTACCTGATTGTATATTATTGGCAGGAAACGTGTTACCAGAGTTTGTGTCGGTAGATTTCTGCTTTATGATAGTGTTTTTTTGGGGCTAATCTCCCGCCCCCCAGTGACCGGAAGATCTTTAAGTAAAGGTTCTTGCTCTTTGTGCGTTCTCAGTAACCATGGCATTAGATTTTGTGTCTTACGATTTTGAAGATTTGGAAATTTGGATTTGATGTCTTTTGGGGTTAAGGTTCCTATGGAGAAAGGATTTGAATTTGTTAATCTTAGGAAAAATGTAATTAAATCAAACGTTTTGAAACTTGTAGAAGCTGCTGGTAACAGTAATGGACTTTGTGCACTTCAGAATTGTCAAAACAAGTTGAAGCACAGGCTGTGGAGTGCCTTTTCAGGTTCTCATTTTTTTGTGTAAGAATGTGCAAATGGTGGCAGCATTCTATAGGAAAAATGTCCCTTCTTGTGAGATTTCCTGGGTGGAATTTGCAGTTTTGGGGGACAGTAATTTGAAAACAAACTGGTGAATGTAATGTTAATTCTAGGGAAGGAGGAAGTCAGTCTAGGCTTGCAAGAAAAAGGAAACGATTAAATGTTGTCTCAGTGGTCAACTTTGATTCTATGTAGGTGAGTTCCTTAAATTTTGATTTTTGAGTGAATTACTCTAACATTTATCAGTGCTTGAGGGTGTTAAGCATTGTCTGGAATGGCTCTTGTTTTCATCCAGAGAATTTTGAAATATTTAATACCTGTTTTAAAAACTCCTTTCTTGGAGTAAAATTTGGATATTGTGTAGTCAGTCTTCTTAAGAATCGTAGCTCAAATTTGATAAACCTACATTAAGAGAAAGCATCTACCTCCAACCCAAGCCCGCAGCACCACTGATCTGATTGCTGTGTGTAGTATATAGTTTCTCACTTCCATTAGGTCATGAGTAGAGCTTTATGGTATGCGGTCTTTTGTGCCTGGCTTCATCCACTTCCCATGTTTCTGAGATTGATCCCTTGAGTTCATACTGAAGGTGTGAATTCTGCCCCTCCTTTTTTATTTTTTACTTATTTTTTGCTGAGTAGCGTTTTGTTGTGTGAGAGGTACTACAGTTCGTTCATTTGTTTGTTGCAGTTGCTTTTTGTTTGAAGCTGGGGGGTGGCACCATTTTTGGTGCTTCTGTATGCCAAGCTCTTTGCCTAGGTCATGCAAAAATACGAATGTCCCCTAGATTTTCTGTTCAGTTTTTGGTGCTGTTGTGTGTTTTTATGATGTATCCGTTTAGAATTAAAGCTGGCAGTTTTGTATATTGCCTTAGGTAAGAAGATGCGTTCAAAAGCTGAACTCTGAAATTATCCCTAATTTGATTACTGGATTTGAAATTACTTTTTGTAATATATTGTTTCTGTTCAGAAGATTTAATGAGAGCGCTTCAGTTTTTTAAAAAATAAAATCACGTGATGTTCTCGGGTTATTGTGAGTATTAGATTGTTAGAACTCGTTGTATTTTGTGTTGTGTTACTGTAAAGGTAAATCTATCTTTACCTGTTAGGAAAGGTAAGTTGTGGTTTGTGGTATTTGGTAGTGTGGCAACATAGTCTTAACTGATTGACAGAGAAAGGATCATGCTCTGCAGAGCCTCACGTTCCTCTTTTTCAGGGTGAAGTGCTTGGGGACCAGGAATGCAGCTGTAGGAATAATTAGGTACCTTAAATAGAACTGGTACCATTAGCAAGGTAGTGTCACCAGTGCATGCAGCCTGGAGTAGTGGTAAATCTAAATCATCCTTCATAGCTCTGATCAAATGTTTACATGTAATTTACAAGGGGAAAGATTTGGAGGGTCTCTTTAAGTGGACACTGCTTCAGTATTTTATATGATGAAACACTAAAGCTAAAGCTAAAAATGGCTCCTTTTCCAGGCTGGGGACAGAGAGGTTGGCACTTGTACCAGGTTCTTGATAACCCCTAAAGGGAGCACATTGGAAGCTCAGAATGGTGGTAAAAGCTTAACTGAGGATCTTTTGATTGCTTGTGGGCTTTTTGAAAAATCAAGTGTTAGTGTGGTTTGGCTCGGCTCGAAGGATTTAGAGGAGAGTGAGTTGTCCCTCATCATGGACAGGATTCAGCAAAATGGAGTGTGTGGTTCCTTCTACTCCACTGAGTAGGGCCAGACTTTGGTATCTTCTTTTGGAAAGGGGAAGAAAAAATCTTGATGGTCGGTTCTCATCTCTACCTTGTTTTGGTAAATATAAAGAGGACGATGTTTGTTTACTTTTCAGTCAGGTTCTGTTCCTGGCCTGGTACAGTTTCTGATGTCTGCAACTGAAGAGGGGAGTGAAAAGTTACTGAAGTTATTTCAGTCTAGCCCAAGTTCATGCTTAACTTGGGAAATACTGGACCACACCTAGTGGTTTGCTTCTGAAAGTCCTCCCTTCACCCCCCTGCATTTTCCTGGGTGCCAGTCACAATCTGTCTCCTGATTCCTCAGTAGGAAAGTACCGGTCTCCTTATCTAATGCTAACTTCTTTCTGTTTTGGGGAGGGGTGGTCCTTGCCCAGAAGAGAGGTTGGACTGGTGGTTGTCCTGGGATAAGGCTAATCCCATGGGCCTCAATGGTGAGTCTAAAGTGGCTGCAGGTACCTTAGCTCTT